TTGTATTGAGGAATATCGCTGGCTTTCTCCCGAGATACACAGTGGTCATCTCTCCATACTGAGATAACTGCTCAGAGAAGATATCACAGCACTTCAACATAACTACAGTGGCTTAGACATTGTCTCACCTGTGAATGAAGTCAACGTAGCGTTTACATTTGACAGAGTAAACCTTTCCACAAAAACAAAGCCTCTATACTCAAAGCAAACACTCACCGACCTTATGAACTCCATTGGGTTCTTCAAAAAATATGGTATGGTTCCCACAAAAGGCAGAGGTCTGGAACCAGGTGGAGTTTGAGCTCTGTAGGAATTAATCCTGAAGATCTCAAACAGAACTACAAAAATAAAGCCCAGAGACAGAGCAATGCCAACAGAGGCCAGGTCTAACTTCATAAGAGTCGTCCACATGGTGACAGATTCATTCAAAGACTGACATGAGCAGCAGACGACCGTGAGCTTTATAAAGACAGAGCGAACGTGGGAGAAGACGGTGAGAGTAGGAGTTTGAGGTGCTAGTTCATGTCATCTACTACCATGACGTTGATTGTGTACACTAAATCTCAGCACAGCCAATGGGTATTCTACAGCCTAATCTTGTCTTTAGTAATGGGATTATGCAAGAGCCCTGGAAAGGTGTGTAAAGATGACTGTGAAATGATAGCAAAGGCCGCTGGCGGTTCCCCTCCCAACATTCCTTATGCTATTTGCTTAGTCTTGTGAGAATATTTATATGATTGTAATTTTATATACTAATATTTACACATTTTAACTCCATTGTACTTAAAAATGTTTCAGAAGAAATGTTCACAAAAATGTGTAACCTTTACCTTTTTTACAAATGTATACTTGTATTGCATGTATAAAATATAAAATGCATGTATAAAATATACTGAAGGTTTGATATTGTCAAAATTAAAATGAAAACTTCTAATATAGCACAATAATACATTAACTCAACCAGTTTAACGATTTCAAACATGCTGTGATGTCTCAGTGAGTGGTTAGACTGCAGGTGATTGGCTGACGTGGTTTTGCACCTGGACTAAATCAACGTGCTTTAAAAGGGACTTGTAGAACAATAGTTGGGGGAACAGTTGCTTGTTGTTGGCATCTGTGTCTGTGTCTTCTCGTGAGTCTGCCGGAGCGCTCACGGGATATGGAGGTTACGGGAGGGTTTGCTGCGGCTCCACCTGAATTCAAGCCATGCCTGCAAGATATAAATCCGGTTTACACCTGTACAGGCCTGCCTGACTGTTGTAATATTAGCAGTCACATGAGCGATTAGATCATGAGAGAAAAGCTTTACAGTATTACAGTGGTATTACAGCACTTCAGTCATTTATTGTGATAGCAGATTCTACACTTTACAACAAATATATACCACATGCTTTTTCAAAACCATAACTATTAAACTAGAATATAATTCTTTCAGGGTTAAAACTATTAATATCAAGTTACAGAGCTATGTCAAAAAAAACACAGATGTAAACTTTGGAAACTCCACTGTCATCTAAGAAATTATCTGGGTTAAAAGTGTCTGGGTACTTCCAGTGTTCCATATCAGTTAAAATTGCTGTTAGTAATTATCTCGTTAGAAACAAAAGTTAGTAACTATATAAAACATAAGTTAGTAAATATCTCGGTGCCCTAAAAAGACAATGTTTGTTAGTGGAACAATCAAGAAACACAACACCGCAATGCTGAAACACATTGCAGCAAAGAGTTGTTTCATGAATCACGCCAGAGGGTACAATGTTGGCAGAGCGCTGAATCTCGTGAACAGTGGCGTATGTGTACGGTAGTTTGTCTCGGTCAATCATGCTGGGTAAGCGGTCGTAACCCAGAACCTGAAGAATCTCCTTATGACATCACTCTGTAATGAAATGAAAGCTGCGGTGTAAAGGTTTTTCAATGTTCAAATACTAGTACAAGAAAGCTACTGGAAGGCTAGTCTCGTGTAGCCAGACCTTCAGACTGACGGCTGAAGGTCTGGAGTCCATGGCAGCTTACATTGGCCTAGGCCGGCCCATGAGGCCGTTTGACCGACATGTCAAACAACCACAGTTCGTTCAATTCATCGTCACGTTTCGGGGCCTGGAAATGTCACCACAATAACAGACCAGTGTGTAAAACTCTTGGACGTATTTTAAAGATTATATGCCGCAAACTTTAAATTTTTCACATACTTTTGAAAATCCAGCATTTAGTTGATCCTGATAAGCACTCATCGTCACAGTTGTAAACACGACTGCTTTCTTCTTTCGTTGAGGGGGTTTGGCGGCACGGCATCTTTGTTTCCAGGCGGAACGTTAAAGAACGCGACACACACGTCTCCCGGAAATCCCGTATAATTCAACCAATCCGATGACGACTTCGAAACTCCTGAAGTGTTTCCACTTTTGTGTGCCATATGCATCAGACGTTTAGCCAACGGTACGTGGGCGTGACATCTGAGGCTGAGACTACTGGAAGGCTGACTTCCTGAAAAGTTGACACTGTGATGTTTACAAAACCTCATTCTTCAAGCTCAACCAATAGTCCATTTGGGATAGGACTATCTGTTAGGTTCAATGGCAATCTATATCCACCTAGTTGTGTTTACAGATTTTGTGATTTATTGCAATTAATCAATTATATTTGGCCACTAGAAAATATAGTTACTGGAAATAAAGTGACTTACATAGCATGCAAGATATACACGTATCAGTTCACAGATTCCAGAGGAATCAATTTTGGCATTGCTGGCACCAAGCTCTACTGTTTGAGCTACAGAATGCTGACAAGCTTAGGTACCTTGTACATCTGGGTTTTGAGTCAAGAAGATGAGGCCCCATCTGATGCTGGTTGCTGTGGTGTCGGTTCCAGACAGGAACAATTACCATGTTATCTTCATCAAACGTCGAGTCCTTATTGGCCTTCTGCTGCTCCAAGGAAAACAGAAAGCACCAACTTCCTGCAGTTTTACATTCCAACCTGTTCCAAAACACCTGCTAGTTTTTGATAATCCTGAAGACCTTGCTTATTTTTTTCCAAGTGAGGTAAAGAAGAGTTTGAGCTAAACTCTGCAAGGAAGTTGGACCTCCAGAAGCAGGACTGGACATCCCCGGTTAAGTAGTCCCCATTGTTACTTACAGCCTTACTGGACCATCATATTATCCTTGATGGTTTAAACAAGCAAATACATCATAAAATTGGAGACGGCCTTGATGCAGGCAGTGTTGATGATCCAACAATACTGATGTCAAAATGACAGCAATTTATAGTGACAAAGCAACAGTAATGCCAACTTTCAAGAAGTTGAGGTTTTGATGCAGCATGGGTGACCGCTGGTAAAGTTTAGTAGGGTTTAACTTTTATCAAGAGTAACAATGCAAAGTGTCGACAACCTATGGGAATGTACACAATTAAGAGAGATCCACCTCCTGATCCAGTTGGATAATAGCTAAGAACATTTAGTGCTTGTTCATACCTGTCCAACAAGTGACCCTGACTGAGTGATTTTCTCCTTCAGGATTTCCAGAAGGTATGCAAAGCGCTTGACAGCTAGCGGTTGAAATGGGTACCAAATTCAAAATATTGTCCCCCAAGACAGGAATATGTGTTATACATATTTTTATGTATAAAAATACATAAAAGCAACACATCAGCATGTTGGTTTGCTTTTTCTTTATTTATTTTTTTGGTCTTTTCTTGATTTTTTTTTTTCTGGTCTTTTTTGTCTGTTTTCTTGGTTTGCCATAGGGAAGTTTTTGGCACTACATAATTTTCTTATTGGGTTATGTTATGTTTGATTTTCCTATCTAAATCCTTTTGTCCTTATGCAAGCAAAATAGGAATACTGCTAATAAAAATAAAGTGAATACATTTTAAATCCTTATTTTACACACAAAATAAAAACACTTTTTTTGGACCCCTCCAAAAATAGGGGTATTAAAATATTTGACATTTTGTATCACAAATCAATGTGATGATACACACAGAAATAAAAGGAAAATAAGACATAAAAACTGTACAAAAAAAGATAAAATTCATTTAAAAAAGTTTCCAAATCACCAAATCATCCCAAGTTAGTCTCTTTTTTTCTATAAGGACCTTGGGCATTGGTTTACAAAGTAAAGTGTCATTTCTTCTGCTGAATGTAGTTGAGATTGCCGTGCCGGCCATGTTGAATAAGCGGGTAATGTTGATTTGCCACTAGAGAACCTGCAAGAAATGCAGAAAAAAACTGTTATGAGTGGAAACTTTTTATTTATTAGTGTGCATCTGTGGCCTATAAAAATCATAGAGAGGAATATTCAGTTAACTTAAAAGACCATTAATAACATGTTGAATTAATCAAATGATTCCTTTCAATACACAGGAACAGCAAATATGCTTGAGGGAATGTCATAAAAAATGTCCACGTCATATTTCATCCCAAAGTCAAAAGAAAGTAAAATAAACACTATTCTACATAAAGAGAATGAAGCCAACTTTTAGCACCATTAAATTATTTTGCATTGTGACAAAAGATAATTAAGCATGATTCACCTACAAAAAAAATATATAATATTAATATAATTAAAAAAAAATGACAAATGTTCTTTTTTTCCGGCCACTTCCTAATTGACTTCAAATTTACCAACATTTTATATATATATATATATATATATATATATATAAAAATCAACACGTTGGTTTGCTTTTTATTTCTTATCTGCTCTTTTCCCGTCTGTTTTTTTAGTTTGCTATAGGAAAGGTTTTTGGCACTACATAACTGACTTGTTGGATCTTAAAGCTTTTGTCCTTAACCAAGTAATACAGCAAAAATAGCATGAATGTCAACAATAAAACAATTTTTATTTTATTTTCAATGGAAAATTCCATTGTTACATTCTACTTGCAATACAGACATATACACAAGGTTTGAATGTTTTATTTTCAACATGTCAGACAGATAGGACAGCACTGGTACCTTGTGAGATGAAGGGTTTGTTGGGCTGCTGCAGGTAGGGTGGCAGACGGTAGGGCATGAAGGATGGAGACAGCGAATACGGAGTCACACCGCCAAACTGAGACGGGAAATTAGGATCTGAGATGTAGAGAGAGAACAGTGAACACACGGCTCTGTACTAACAGAGAGTAAAACAACCAACACAAGAACTCAGAACCGTTAAAATGTCACTCAACCATTATGAAACCATGTCACCTTCCTTATTTATACTAGATTCAAAAAACAAGGTTTTCATTAGACTGTGATTTCAAGGGGTTACAGGTGAAGCGGCTCTAAAAGAGGACAAGCAATCCAGTAAATCCAGTTCCCAGTGTTTAGTCTAACAGCTGTGGAGTCACCCAGTGAACCCAAAACACCTGTGAGACTTACCTGAGCTCACAAAGAGACACTGCACTGATTTCACTCATCTCTGAAAACATTTTCATAAAGCTTAAATCGCTATAAGGATGTTGCCTTAGAAAGCACCACGTGAAAGTGTGAGCACCACGTGTGTGTACCTGTCTTGTTTACTGTGCCGTTCACCACAAGTGGCCCCGGATTGAGATGGTGATTGTGCCAGGGGTGCACCCTTTCTCGGGCCGGGCCGCCGCCCACTCCACCAGCCACCCGCCCCGTCGACGGCTGAGCGAATATGATGCTGGGGTCGTTCAGGTTCATGGGGGAGGGGCTCACCGCTGGCCCGCCTCCACCACCCCGTATGGCAAACTTCAGGCCAGGAGAGGACGGGTGGCCGGAGGCGGTGGAGGCCCCAGAGCCCTGGATGAGAGGGCCGTGGATGGGCCAGGAGGCAGAGGTGAGGGGCGGCTGCTGGGGGTGGGCAGGCAGGAGGCCCAGCGCGGAGAGCCCGGCGTGGTACGGCCCCGGGTGGGAATGTGGGAAGCTGAAGATGGGAAGTTGGACCTGTGGAACCTGCTGCTGCTGCGGTTGGGAGGGTTTGGAGGTAGAGGATGCAGAGGAAGGCTTGCTGTTCTGCGGAGAGACGGACGCCTGGCTGTAGGGAGACGGCTGAGGGGAGTACGGAGGAGTCTGACGCGTATCAGACTGGATGGAAACAGACAGAAATAGTGTCAGTTCATCCAAAAACGAATGTATGAAAGTAAATTCTGTTGCTGGGTGATATTGAATATTTACAATTACTTTTTTTGGCAAACAAAAATTGGGCAAAACCTTGGATATCACAATCTTAATACGCTTTTCATACCACTACCATGCCAATATCTGAAAATATCAGTGTACCGTGGTACCATCACAGTAGTTTTTGTAAGGTTTCTCAAGTCATCGTGCATAAGTAGTGTAAAAGTTTCTAAACACTTAAGTTTCTTTAGTAAAAAACGTAATTACTAAAAAAATTATTAAAGGGGTGGTAAATCAGCTATTTTCGAAGGCTTGATTGTGTTTATGGGGTCCGTTCTCCTAAAAACGGTCTGTTGACTTCCTGGTTGCTCCCTCAGAAATACACAATGGGCTCAGATTGGTTAGCTGTCCCAGTGTGTTGTGATTCGTTAACCATCTAGTGCATGTTGTCCGGAAACGTCACGCCCCTTAACATTACTGGTTCTTGCATGTGCTCCGGTGTATGGTAAACAATGGCGTCAATATTGCCTTATCAATTTGAGGCCGAATCAGACCCAGAGAATATCAGTGAAGAGGATCGAGCAGAACCTGTGCAAGCACAGCTCTTACAGGACGTTTCAGAATGGTGTGGGTTTTTTTTGTTGGTAGTTGTCTCATACTTTGTAGATATGCTGTTATTTGTAAATGCAATGTTAGCTTTTGATATACGGCTTTACAGCAACATTACACACTAACTGAAGTTAAAAAAGTAAAATAATCAAGGACCCTTTTAAATGATTTATTAATTATATAAGAATTATATCTTTATCTTTATATATTTTTATAAAGTTAAAATTTTTCTTAGATTATTTTGTGAAAATTAATTTCTACTTTCTAAAAATATTTACTTAAATGATTTTAGCAAATGGCTGCAATATAACAAAGAGTGAAAAATTTAAGGGGGTCTGAACACTTTCCGTACCCACTGTATATAAAGGCAAATATAAATATAACTCACATATACAACAAATCTAATGACTAAATAATTGTTTTATTTAGTGAAAATTAATAATGAAAAATGTATTTATTACTTATAAATATTAGAATAGTAATACATATATACTTTATATATACACTATTATTTCTAAATAACATTATAAATACATACTATCAACTATAATTCTTCTTTGTTTGTATATTTACTGAAAAGTAATTACTAAAATTAATTAGATCATTTATTAATATAATTAAAAATAAATATAATGCATTATAAATCTAAATAAATATCATATGAATTAAATAAAACTTTTTTATTTATTAAAAATGACAAAAAATACATAATTAGATTAATTATAACTATAAATAAATAATACATAGATAAATTAAAAAAATACAAATAAACCAGATTTTTACTATATTTAGTGACCAGTATTTTAAATATACTTGGCAACAATGAATAATTGGTTCAAATTATCTGGTCGAAGTTTCAGTTGAATGGCAAAATAAATTAATTTCAAAGCACATAATAAAATACTGAGAAACATTAACAACTAAAAGGCAATGGACATCTATCATCCAGCCGCAGCTGAGAGCAGAGAGTTTAGGTCCTTACACATTCAGAGGGCTGCCTGTGCCGTCCGCCCCGATCCTGGACTAAAGCACCTTGAGGAATGGGGATGGACTGAGAGCTCGCCATGGCCCGGACCATGTGAGGTACTTGAAAAAAAACAGAGTAATCACAGTCAAACGCTCTTATATACTGCCCCCTACAGGACACAGACAGGTCAAGAATATTAATTATAAAGAAAAAAGAAATTGCATAATAAAATCAGCGATGACAATACAATATAAAATGACTGACTATCAAAGTCTATACCTATCCACCAAATAACTGTCTACTTTGTTTTGCAACACTTCCTTTCAACTCAATAGCCATTATAGGTAAATAACTAGAACAATAAAGAAAGTATAGAATACAGAAGTACATGAAAGTACAGTAAACAGTAAAGCTATTTACGCTACAAACCAGTGTGTTTATGATTATGAACCAAAATAATAGGATAACAAATACCACAAAGTTACGCCTTCTTTCTTTGCTTGAACATTTGGGTGGCGTTATGCAAATCTTCCCACACTGTGACGTAGACATGTGGGGGCGTGTTTAAACGAGGCGTCTTAGGAGGGCGTGGACGAGTCTTAACTGTCTATATATATATATACATATATATACACACACACACACACACACATGTATATATATATATATGTATGTATATACACACACACACACACACACAGATATATATACACACACACACACACATATATATATACACACACACACACACACACATGTATATAATATATATATATTTAAGACATTTTAAGACTTTTTAAGGACCCGCGGCCACCCTGTGTGTGTGTGTGTATATATATATATATATACATGTTTATAATATATATATACACAAAATGTGTTACATTTATTAAACATATTCATAAACTGTTTGGGCTTATGAAAATGGTCTGAGAAGTTCAGCTCTAGAGGCTTCATGAACTAAAAAATAAAGGACTGAATTAAGCTGAGCTGTACCTGGTCCGGACACTGCTCTCTGACGGAGGTGTTTGTAATCGGGACAGTCTCTCCTCACGTGACCCATATCTCCACACTGAAAGCAGCGTCTCTCTCTGGGCTCCCTGTCCTCCTCCCTGACCTCCTCCTCACGCTCGTTCTCCTTTTTCTTCATTCTGAAATCAAACAAGATCAGCTAAGCACTTTGCCTCCCATGCATTATTGCTGCAAAAAGTAATAGTTTCTGCATGTGTAAACAGGGCACCTGCGTCTCTTTGGGCAGTCCTTCATATAGTGACCGATCTTCCCGCAGATCCGACAGCAGCGGTCATTAGGAGCCAGTTCACCGTCCGTCAGCACCTTTGAGTCAAAGAAGTAATCCTGACAGAGAGACAGAGACATGAAGATGAAATGAGACATGAAATGAAGGTTAAAATGGCGCTCAGGAGCAGTTGTAGTGTGACTCACGGCCTCTGTTCCCAGCTGAGGGTAAAATGGGGTGCCGAACAGCTTCCTGCCGTTGATGAAGGCCTTCATGATGAAGTTAGTCACTGTGTACAGAGAGGGCAGAGAGAACGAGTGAGACATAATCAACCGTATATTCACTGAAAGGTGTGGAACAGGATAGATTTGCTTACTTTTGCGAGAAACACCAGCCCCAAGATTGTGATTCAAGTCAAAGGGATCTGTTAAAAAAAAACAGTCATGTAAAAATAACATATTCAAGGGTCATGCAACATGTTTGTTTGGTTGAAATAAAATATTGCAAAATATCAGAATTCAAACTAAAAGCATCACATTTAGTGAAGTCACCTCAACTTCTAAATATATCAATAAATATTGTAATTCTACTGGGAAACAATGGAATAACTATAAAATACAATTATAAAAATGACATGTTATATTAATATATTAATAAAATATAAAAATTATAAATAATATAAACAAATACATACTGTTAATTATCATCTTTGTGTATTTTGTGAAACAATTACTAAAAATAATTATTTTCTTATTAATACCGTAATTATAAATAATAATATAAAAATAAATTATTACATACTAACTAATATCCAATTAGTTATAAATTAATTAATGATTAATAATATAAAAAAATGTTAATTATTTTTTTACTGCATTTTAGAGCATTAAACATTTTAAACCTACTTGGAAACAATGGATGGAATAATAAAATACAAGTACAAAATTAATTAAATATATTAATACAATTATTTTATAATCTGTTTTTATGAAGCAAGACAGATCTAGAGAGGCTGAATTAATTAAAAAAACAAATAAAAGAATGAATAACCTGAATAAAATAACTGATCTCTTGATTTCTGCGCATTTCAGAACAAATTAAGAGAAAAAAAGTTGTGAGTCATAATGAGCGTTTCAAACCTTCGATTGCAATGCATTTGGACGTCCACTGTTTCTCAAATGTGGTGAGGCGTTTGCGCTGGCGGATGGAGATGACGTACTCTTTAAAATCAAACTCTTCTGTGTAGAAACGCAGCAGGCCGAGCCATAGCTCCCCGACTGTCTCCTTATTCTGATAGAGCTCCGGCAGACGCCGCCGCTGGACACCAGAAACACACACCTTAACTGATGCATGCTGAGTGCACTTCAAAATGCATCGGGCTGCGTAATTTGTTTACAGTCTCCAAGTGTATAAATGATAAATATTAGAAACTAAACGTGTGTCACGTTCAGTGAGGTTAAATATAATATATAAAAAACACATAGAAATGACTTGTTGTTGTTAATAAACAAATTGTTGATAACAAATACTATCAGTTACTGTTTTTCTTTATGTATTTAGTGACAATTACAAATTTTTTTGATTATTAATATTATAATAAATAATACAAACAAATATATAATATCACTTATTTTTCTTTGCATATTTAGTGAAAATTAAAAAAATATTAGATTGCTTAGTATTATAATTATAACTAACAAACATATATATACTATCAGTAATCATTTTTGTGTATTTAGTGGCAAGTAATTACTAAAAATAATTAAATTACTTAATATAATTATCAGTTATTGTTTTTCTTTGTGTATTCAGTGACAAGCAATTATAAAAATAATGAAATGACTTAATATTATAATTATAAATAAAATAAACAAATACATACTATCATTTATGGATTTTCTTAATTTTTTTAGTAATTACTTGTCACTTAATAAAGAAGATCCATAACTGATTGTATGTATTTGTTTATATTATTTATAATTATAATATTAAGTAATCTAATTATTTTTGTAATTCTCTAAATAACAGATGATTTATTATTATAAAATGTAAATAATATAAAAAATTATTTTAGCATTTTTATTTGTGTATTTAGTGAAAAGTAAATATTAAAAGGTTAATATCTAATAAATAATTAAAGAAAATAAATTAAATTAAATTAATAAAAATGGTACAATTTAAGTAGAATGAAACCTCTTCAACGTTCTGACTCAAACAAAAATGTCTTGCTCAGAAACAATCTCAAATCAATCCCACTCACCAGCTCATCAAGGTCATCGAAGAAGAAAGCATTCCAGCCGTCCACCATCCTCTGAGGAACAGTGCTCCCATCGAATACCTGCAGAAGAGCACAATCATTCAGTTCCATGGTGCAGATATGTGATACTATCAGTGCACCATGGTACTGCCACAGTACTTCTGTGTAAGTGCTTTGTACCTCTTGTAACACAGGGATGACTGGTGGTTGTTTCTGTTGTAAGAAATACAGCACCATGAGGATGTAAGCATAGGAGGACAGACTTCCTCTGGAGGCGTCGCCAATATCACAGCGCTGCAAAACACACACATTTACATTTTCCCCTAGTGTGCATGTAGTCAATACGATGACTTTCCAATGCACTGACAAAAGGATAAAAATGTAATGAAGAGGGCAGTGACAGGGTACTAGTACTACAATGGTATGCATCTGTCGCGAGCGATAATGTGGGTGACAATAAGCCACAGACATTTATTGGATAGCATAGATCATGTTTGCGACGTTCTTTTAGCCGCTGGAGGTAGTTAGCATGGTCTTGAGCCTTTCCTCTGAATAGATTAGCCCTCCATTCAACACGGTTTTTCGCTGCCTGGGTCCAAGAGTTGGTTGGTATGATAGACTCAAAAATCTATCAGATCTCATTTCAGTACATCTTTATACCTCAGTTTAGGCCGTCCAACAATATGGGTACCCTTCTTGAGGACACTGTGGAGAATTGTGTGGGGAATAGGGGAAGGGGACATTCTGGTCACATGACCTGAATGTCTGAGACGAAAAAATTTTAGGCGGGAGGAAAGTGTTTCACTTTTTGTCACTTTAAACAGATTGACATTTTATCCCTCCAGGTCTTACCAAGTATAAACCTGAGGCATCTAGTGTGGAAGGCACTTAGCAGACTCTCTAGATACCTGCATTCAGCGACACACAACAGGATGCTCAGAACTCATGCTTCATATACTCTTACATTGATGCAAACAGATGCTTATTCCACCATACACGATTTGTCAAACGCCCAAAAGTAGAGGCCGCTTTCCCCAACCTGACTGAAATCTCATCGTCTGGGGTAGTATTGCGGGGTCACGGTAGATCCAAGATATGTGAACTTTCCCACATCATTGAGAACTACATTTTTTTTAACTGAAAACGATGTGTTGGCAGCAAGTGACATAGGGCCTGTTTACACTTGGTCACTTCATGTGTTTTCTCTGATCGGATATCAATCTGATTTTTTACAACTCTATCATTTATACTTGGCCACATAAACGTATCTCCGCAAAACGGATATATATCCGATCTTCAATTCCAACGCTATATGCAAATTTAATGGAGGTCACATCAAAGAATGCACCAGATTGGCACTGCATTTTATTCATCATCAGCTAATTTCAAGATCAAAGACTGCAACAGGAGAGAGAGCGGCATCAGTACTGAAAAGGTAAGTTACTTATAAGTTAGTCTTAATACTTTTAATGAAGATGATTGTGTGTTAAGAGTCTGCGACTTGCTTTCAGTTTCATTTGTGGCAGTTTGTGCATCGGCTCGCTGAAGAAATACTCAGCTACTCATCTGCAGCGATGCGTGTGGCGTTAGCGCGATCATATCTGACTATGACGTCATGTAGGCTGTAACGCTCTCTCACGTTTATTATTTTAAAGGGGTCATATGATGTTGCTAAAAAGAACATTATTTTGTGTATTTGGAGTAATGCAATGTGTTTATACGGTTTAAATTAAAAAAACACATTATTTTCCACATACTGTACATTATTGTTTCTCCTCTATGCCCCGCCTTTCTGAAACACGTCGATTTTTACAAAGCTCATCGGTCTGAAAAGCGAGGTGTGCTCTGATTGGGCAGCTATCCAGTGCATTGTGATTGGCCGAATACCTCAAGCGTGAGACGGAAATGTTACGCCCCTACCATACTGTATTTCCGTATGTCCCGGCGCGACGAGACAAAAACATTAAAACCCATTATAAACGAGGCATTTGTTGCATCCAGCGGGGACATAATTACGGATTATAATGACTTATACTATCTTTTTACATGTTGCGTTGCATCGCGCCGCGTAAACATAAAAACGACATGGCGGCGGCAACAACAAAACTACAGCGAGAATAAAGTTAGGTCTTCTTTCTTTGCGTGAACATTTGGGCGGTGTTATGCAAATCTTCCCACATCGTGACGTAGATATGTGGGGGCGTGTTAGAACGAACCGTTTTAGGTAGGCGTGGTTGACTCTTAACTTTTATAAAGAATATCTCTTTGGATTTGAGACTTTAGTCTTTGCAACTTTACAGATCTTTATGCACCAAGAGCTTGTAACACTCCAAAGAGAAAGGAAAAATTTAAATCGCATCATATGACCCCTTTAACATTTTGGGAGGAGTAAATTTTACATATGTGGTTTCAACAACCAGATGCATTTACACTTGTCCAGTTTCGTGTGGAATGCGGCCCAGACCACCTCCTGAAGTGGTTTGAGCGATTGGATTTAAATCTGTCTCGAAAGCCTTTCAGAGGACATTTACACCGATCAGAGAAAACGCATGAAGTGACCAGGTGTAAACGGGCCCAGAGTCACCATTTTTTTAAGCTGATTGTGAGCCCAAAAACATCACACAAGCATGAGAAACAGTCGAGCAGAATCTGCAGCTGCTCTGGTGAAGATGCGCATAATGCAGCCTCATCTGCATATAGCAGTTCTCTGACGACAAACTCTTGTGTTTTTGTTCTTGCTCTCAAACGGAATAGACTGACGAAGTTTCCATCATCCCTAGTCAAAAGAGTGATTCCAGTGTGATTATCCAATTTCTCAAAGGTAGTCCTGAATACAAAGGTAAAATAAATGATAAAGTGTGTTGGAGCAAGGACACAGTCTTGTTTCACACCTCGATTTAAAGGGAATTCATCAGATAGATCACCTTCAAATTGTACACGGCCTTGCATTCCATTTTGAAGGGATTTAATAAGTGATAGAAGGGTGCGAGGGCAGCCGGCCTTTTGCAGGACTATAAAAAGAGCTTTTCTGTCGACTGAATCAAAAGCTTTAGTCAGATCAACAAAAGCAAGGTAGAGTGGCTGATTCTGTTCTCTTGATTTTTCTTGTAACTGTCTCAGCAAAAATCATGTCTGTTGTAGAGCGGATGGGTCGGAAGCCACATTGAGACTCAGAATATATGACCTCAGCTAACTGATGAAGGCGAGTCAATATGAGCGGACCAGGAATTTCCCTGTAACACACAGCAGTGATATTCCTCGGTAATTGTCACAGTCTCCACGATCCCCTTTGTTCTTATAGAGGATGGTGATCTATGCATCTTTGAAAACTTGCGGAACATACTTAAGAGTGCCAGTGGCTTCCCTCTGCCCAGTCCTTGAACTATGATTATCACCTCGTCTAGCTCTGGTTCTGCATCTAAGCAATTCTGATGTGGAATACTTCTGTGGAATACTTGATTCTGATTGGTCAGTCGCGACATTCCGAGGTCTGTTATCCCTCGATAACAACCGGTAAAAGCTGATAACACAGGCTCATCCGGGAAACTGAAGTCGGCGCTATACTCTTGCTAAGAACAATTTTTCTTCGTGGAAGCTTTGCGTTTGGTTTGGCTAATAAAATATTAAAACTCAATTCATTATTATGTGTACAATTATTTAATTATGTCATTCTGGTATCGCAGACTCGCTCTCTCGTTTCATATAAACACAGCTGCTGCAACGATTGTTTTGTACACTGTAATGGATTATAAGATAACTAACATACTGGTAAGAATTTAAAACATTTTCGTCTTAAATCAATATCTTTTATCGCCTTATTTATGTGGTCAAATGTTGTGTAGTAAGTGGTATGACTGCACCGTATCCCTTAAATATCCGTCTAATTTGACTAATATCTGTCTTCACGGAAGCTTTACGTTCAAATATTTCAACTCAAATCAATATTTTGTGTCTAATTATTTACTTATGTGGCAAGTAGTCGTGTAATATGAGGGATAATGTACATCCAGCCGGTTGTTATCGCAGAATAACCCCCGACAGGGTGATCAGGACCCCAACACGCCTTACATAACAGACAGCACTATTTGAACTGTATAACTCACTAAAGTACTCTGTCCAACACACAAGCTTTTCTGATTTATCTTCAATGATGGAACCATCTTTCCTCTTGAGCACACAACAAGTCTGGGTAGTAGGTCCTATTACAGTTTTGATAGCTTTATACACAGCATTGATATTTCCAGAATCTCTTGCAGTTTCAATATTGGAGCATATCATGTCCTAGTAGTCTTGGGCACATTTCTGAACTGTTGCTTGTGCAGCAGATTTTGCAGCACGATATGCGACTGTTGCTTGCCTTGTGGGTCTTGATTTGAGGCGGACTAGAGCTTGACGCTTTTCCTCAAGAACTGGTTGGATCATTTGTAAGGAGGCATTATACCAGTCAGGATTTTGTCTCCTTTTCTTTCCAAAAGTTTGTAAAGCAGTGTCATAGATCACATTTATCATGGCTTCCCAGGGTCTGGGGTATCAGGAATGTTCTGAAGCTTTTCTTCAAGCCTGCTACAGTATTTTTCTCTAAGATTTGGGAGCTTTGTTTTGTGAATGTCAATCTTTTGGGACTGTTTCACTTGACGACGGAAAGGCTTTGGTTCAATGTTTATGTATGACACAACTAGACTGTGATCAGTGTCACAGTCGGCACTGTGATATGTACTTGTATTCTTGACTTCCTTTCTATACTTCTGCTTGACAATAACAAAGTCAAGCTGGTGCCATGCTTTAGATCTTGGGTGGCACCAAGTCATCTTTCTATGTAATCGCCCAGGAAAGATAGTATTAGTAATACAGAGATTGTTTCTGCAGCAGAGCTCGAGTAGCCGTTAACCATTCTCATTCATTCACCCCACCCCAAACTTTCCAATGCTGTCAGGCCAAATATTATGGTCCTCCCCTACTCTGGCATTCATATCACCCAACAAGACTGTCCGTTCAGCTTCAGGAGATGACCTGCGAAGCATTTCTAGTTGTCCATAGAACTGATCTTTGTCTGCTGGTTCTGATTTAAGTGTTGGTGCTTAGGCAGATATTACTAAAATACAACCTTGTCTGGTCTTAAGTCTAAAGAAAGATATCCTGTCACTAATTGCAGTAGGTGTTTGTATATTGCTGATTAGGTTGTTACGCATGGCAAATCCAGTCCCGTACAGCCTTGGTTCATCAGCTGGCCTGCCAAACCAGTAGAATGTAAAATTGGCTTCTCTAATAGTACCTGCCCCTACTAATCTTGTCTCTTGAAGAGCAGAGACATGTACATTTCGTTTGGCCAGTTCAGTATCAATGATAGCTGTCTTTCTAGCATTTATATTTTCGCAAACTGCATCTTGGTACATCGTCATTCCAATGGTCATTGTCCTTACATTCCACGTTGAAAAAATGAATTTTGTCTTTTTGGGTGAGGTAAAACACAAACCAGAACACCCATTCTGGTAGTGTTGTGGTGAATGGCAGCACCTTATTGGTCAGAGGCTGCCTGACTTGAAGCGGGCGGTAGCTTACCATGGAATTGGCCCCTCCCACTCTAGAATGAGGTCCCTAGCGCCTGAGCATCATCACCATTACTCTGGCTTATCACTGGTAACTACCTCAAACTGGGTTTTTGATTTCTGCATTTCAGTCATATGCAGCCACAGGTTTCCTCTGCAGGAGAAAAGATTTGTCGACTCTTGTCACCGCCAGGATAATTTAAGCTTACATTTTCCTGGTGAACATGGTAAATCATTTAAAATACACACACACAGCAGTGAACACACACACACTGTGAACACACACCCGGAGCAGTGGGCAGCCATTTTTTGCTGCGGCGCCCGGAGAGCAGTTGGGGGTTCGGTGCCTTGCTCAAGGGCACCTCAGTCGTGGTATTGAAGGTGGAAGAGAGCGCTGTACATTCACTCCCCCCACCTACAATCCCTGCCGGTATGAGACTCGAACCCACAACCTTTATGTTACGAGTCCGACTCTCTAACCATTAGGCCACGACTTCCCCCGACTTATTCGAATAAACTTTGAAATATAATTTATTCCGTTGATCAAAGCTGAATTTTCAGCATCATTACTCCAGTCTTCAGTGCCACATGATCCTTCAGAAATAATTCTCGCTGATTTGCTGCTCAAGAAACATTTCTGATTATTATCAATATTGCAAACAGTTGTGCTGATTAAAGGGTTAGTTCACCCAAAAAATGAAACGACATGAGGGTGAGTAATTAATGACAGAATTTTCATTTTCGGGTGAACTATCCCTTTAATATTTTTGCGATACATTTTGTTTCTAGATTCTTTGATTAATAGAAAGTTCAAAAGAACAGCATTTATTTGAAATAGAAATCTTTTGCAACATTATAAATGTCTTTACTGTCACTTTTGATCAATTTAATGCCTCCTTGCTGAATAAAAGCATTATTTTCTTTCAAAACATCAGAAAAAGAGATTAATTAAAATTTAAGTTGAGGTTTTGTAAACAAATTCATTCAAGTACAATTTACATTTGTCCACAAAAGGTTGAGCTTCTTTAGGAGTATGCAATAATCAAAAATAACGTGCATGTAACTTTACTACTGTAGATCAGCTACTCATGCACATGTTCCTTTAGCACTAGCTGTCTGAATGTGCATGTTTGAATATTGTAGGGAATATTTTATGCAACTATGTGCATTCTGCAAGTTAAAATCATTTATGACAGCAAAGATATCTGGTCTTACCTTGGCAAATACTTTCATAGTGTAGCCCAGATACTGCACACGAGGGTCTATAGCAGCATATGTGGCCAGCATCCGGGTGTTGTGTTGGGCCTGACACACAAAAACAACATTCAAATAAAATAAATCAATGTAAATAAATAATAGTAATAAAACAGACAATTTTTCATATAGACACATAATAGAATGTAATATAATATAATGTAATATAATCAGGGGTACACATAAGTGGTGCATGCGCGACCAAAATAAAAATTGTGCTGTGTAAATAACTTCAGACCACTCATTTGCAACATTGTTTACAGCTGTTAATGCACAATTACCATTTTAGATCGACTAACTGTAATAATAGTGCATAAGATTTCTATTCGAACTGAAAGCATAAATCTAGGCTATCCCGCTGCCGTTTTCAAAGCACAATGCAAAACTGTGACATTTCATTCCCTGAAGCTCTCCAATCGGCAGCGCATATACTTACTTGCCGGCAACCCGCCAAAATAAAAGCTTGCTGATTTAAAGTTTGAAAATGATGAAAATTCTTATTTAAAAAAAAAAAGAAGTAAATGTTAGCATTTTATTTTTAAGTTTACTATAAAATAATAATATTTTTATTTAATACTCCCTTTTTATTTTAAAATATAATAGTATTATCACACTTTATTAATTTTATTTTATTTTTGTAATAAATAAATGAAGTGCAATAATATTATTATCACTATTATTCATTTATTTTTTTGTATAGTTACATTTAATGGGTCACACTATGTGCAGTGTGAGGACCAAAACAAATCTCCAGGTGCTCTTATGAGAACCAGGCTGAAAAACTAATGTGCACCCCTAAACATAATATAACATAATATAATACCATATAATACAATATCAGAGAGTGTGTCTCACCAGTGTGTTGTAGAGGCTGATGTCTCCCTCCAGTCCGCTCTGCCTGTGTTCAAACTTCACTATAGGCACTTTAGCAGTTGTGATAGGCAAGATATTCCTTAAACCTGAACCATGCCAACAAACGAATCCGTCAGCGCTGAACATTCAACTCACACTGACTTCAGTTTCACAAAATAAATCACTCCCGTACCTGTGTGCTTTTTCAGCACCTTGGCTAAACCCTCGATGATCTCCTTACAGTTCAGCTTCTGCAAGAAAAACAAGAACGCAAAACCAGTTAAACATCAGGGAGTCGATAATTGGCTTAAAAAAAAATAAAATATTAATAGAAAAGGCAATAATACAAACTGATCTCCTTTTGAATGTTTTTAAACACAAAACACAATTTAAAGTAAGTGAAATCAGTCATCAACACATTATAATGCACATTACAAGCACTTTTGAAATGTGGCATGACATAAAATAAAAATCAAATGAAAGAAAAATAAGGTATGTTTGTAATATTGGCCTAATCATACAGATATTTACAAAAAAAAGTGTCTAAAAATCTATATAAAACATGGCATGTCCCTCTTTTGAAGGGGCAACAGGATTTATACCTCAGCGGTGTCGTGACCCTCCAGTGTCATGCAGATGTCCAGGTCACTGTCACGAAACCCAAAGCCGTTCTTAGAAGAGCCAAACAGACAGAGCTGGGCCTTATCTGAAAAACAAACAGAATAGAGATTCATTTATGTCAAAAAGTAGGGATACTGCAGTTAGGTTAGATAGGTTATCTGTTTATAATCATAAAAACTGTGAAACCGAGATTTTTCCTTGGACTAAACTCATCCTAGTCAAACATTGGATTTATTAATGAACTGAACTGTAGTTGGTTGTTTTACATGTTACTTCCTGTCTAAGGGGGCGGTTCTTGGCAAGAATTCAAAGTGAAACCATGAAAGTCAAACCATTTAGAAATTAACTGAAAGCATGAAAACTACTTATTGTTTTCATTCACACAATAGAGACATTACTGCAGTTTAGCGTTTGTTCTGCAAAAAGACCCTTTTCACAGGCTGCGATGATGATTTTTTTTTGTTATTACCACCATAAATCAGGGATTCACAAACTTTTTTATCAGCCAAACCCCTCTGAGCTTATATAATATATATATATATATATATATCTAAGCTCAGAGGGTTTTGAATACAATGGCTGAGAAAGTGATTTAATTTGACTTCTTTCGCTTGTCTTACTGCTGTAATCAATCTCTCTAAAATTTGTGACCCTGGAGCACAAAAGCTGGAAATGCTATCATTAATTTTTTTATTTTCCTATTAGAACAAAATGAGGACCACTATAGAAGTTTACACGACTATGACAATTTCTGCTAAAGCTATTTAGCTCCTGCATGTTTTTTTGGTTAACGCTGTTGCACACGTATGAACGTAAATCCACACCGTTGTACTCTTTTCTAATGAAGCGCTCCAGACTGCCCAGAATCTGCTCCCTCTTCTGCTGCTCGATGAGAGACGGCGATAACTCATCTACAAACACAAACACATCGCAACTCAACCTGAAGTAAATGTAAGGGGAAATACAAATAAATGCACTCAAGCTGCTAAGTGGCAAGGACATTTTCTCTGATTGGGATGATTCGGGTGTGCTGGCGTATTAAAGGAACAGTTCACCCAAAAATCACTGATTTAAAAATAAATTAAAAATAAAAATCAGGCAACACCAAATGAATCCCCTTGGCTGTTGGCTGTAATTTTGTGTTGCCTGATATGCTTTTTTGGACTCAGCGATGACAGCCATTGACATACATTTTATGAATCACCAAGATCCATTGTTGGATCTTGGATGGCCTGAGGGTGAGTAAACTAACAGAAAATGTTCATTTTTGAGTGAACTATCCCTTTAAATATGGATGATGGTGCAGTATGGTATAGCACTCACGGTAACACAGCATGCAGAGTCCGTCCAAGATCTCTCTGAAGAGTACGGTCATGGGCGGCAGAGGTCTCAGCTCAACCTTCTTGAAGTCTTCAGGGCACTCGTCTTTAAGGTGGCCGTCTCGCTTACAGATGCTGCACACGACCGTTGGTGGCTGTTAAGCAAAACAACCAGCAGACCCTTAACTTCTGGTTAACAGCACCAAATTATTTACCATAATAACACATGTGATGCACATGTGTGCCATAGTATAAACCATATATAATACATATAATATTAAAAAATGACTCCAGACGACTGAATTATTGGATTCCATGCCTATTCCACCCTCTCTTAGAATCAAAGAGTCTATTTTTTTTGCTGCTGTGCCTTTAGACCTTTTTTTATCGTGATCGATTTTGAAGCGGCACAACTGTTTTCAACATTGATAATAATCAGAAATGTTTCTTGAGCAGCAAATCAGCATATTAGAATGATTTCTGAAGGATCATGTGACACTGAAGACTGGAGTAATGATGCGGAAAATTCAGCTTTGCATCACAGGAATAAATTACAGTTTACAATATATTCAAATAGAAAACAGTTATTTTAAATAATAGTATTATTGTAATAATATTTCACAATATCACTGTTTTTACTGTATTTTGGATCAAATAAATGCAGCCTTGGTGAGCATAAAAAACAAACATTTAAAGTTTTGGGTCTGTAAGGTTTTTTTTTTTTACTTCTGCCATTGCATATGAAATTATCAAATAAGGATTTCTTAAAATCCAGACGAATTTGCCAATGAATCATTCAGACCATTTTGACTGATTCACTGAAAAGAACTGACTCATGAGAACAATTCACTGGCATAGGAGCTTGTTTTACTCCACATAAACTATACACAAGATCAATATCCACCTGTTTTTAAAGCCAAACACAACTAGAAATGTATATTCACTATTGAAATTCCCATGACCTTTCCAAACCTGGAAAACTGATTTTAAAAGAAAACATTTTGCACAGTCAAGCACCACAAATATTACAGTACCCTGTGCAATTACCTTTCCTCCAGTGAAGATCATCCTGTCAAAGACATAGTGCATATCTTCTGGTGCAATACTGTCCCATTTCTCCATGTCTTGCTCTTTATCCTCCTCCTCATCGCTGTCCATCAGCAGGCCGTTGAGGGCGGAAGGAGACGTGGCTGTGGAGGGTTCCTGGGAAACCGCCTCAGATCTGGCATCCATCCCACCGTCGCTCACCAGGAGCTCGGTGAACCCCGCTCTCAGGCTCTCCTCTTCCTCCATATCCCTCTCATCCTCATCATCACTGCTGTCTCCGTCCTCCTCGCCGCTCTTCTCCACCTCCCCCTGGTTCTTCCGGTCCAGGCTGCAGGATCGGGCCGTGCGAGAACGTCTGGGTTTCTTCCTCAGTAAGCCACGGCTGGCGTTTGCTCCGTTCCTGCTCTGCGGACAGGCAAAATACTTGTAGGCCGTGCGGAAGCGCTCCTGGATGTATTCAAACACCATCTGACTGTTCAGACTGCGAGCCACATTCCTCTTCAACGCAAACGGATCTGAAACACATGACTGAGTCATTTACAAGTGCTTTCATACTGCAGTTGAAGCTCCTTTTCTTATTTCATCTTAATGCGACAAACAAAGTGCACTTAAAAACAGATGAAAGTGTAAAACACTGTGCTGTTTGATATTGTTTATCAGTATCGGATGATACTGGATATTGAATTGTGTTAATTTTTAGATTACCTGTGCAATCATCTAACACTCATCTCCAGTTAATCAGTAACACCTTGCAATAAGACTTCATATGAGCTAACAATGAACAATACTTAAGTATTTAATTATATTAATGTTACAAAAATGCATTTATTAATGCATTTTTTAAATCAAAAGTTGTATCTGTTAACATGAGCTAATAAACAAACAACTGTATTTTATATATACTAAAATTAACAATCTTTTTAGTAATATTTTACATTAGTTTTTACCATTCAGGTTGTTTGATAAGTGTGTATGTATATATATATATATATATATATATATATATATATATATATATATATCTCCAGAAATGTACAGCATTAATCAAAAATTTGATATTTTAATTATTTATCATTTAAAAAAAATAAATATTTAAATATATAATTTTAATATTTAAATATACAAATTTGCTATTAACTATTACATAACAAATGTTAGAAAGACATGCTATATATTCTTAATATTATAATATTAGACAGATACAATTAGTATTACTGATATCCTATAACAGTATTTTGAAATAGCTTTAATTTTATTTTAATTGTAGTTTAATGTTTATTAATTTTGTGTTTTTATTTGTTTCTTGTGTTTATTTCAATTGCTATTAACAATTATATATTATTAAAAAAAACATTGTTTTTAGAGTAATGTTTTTAATTTAGACAAAACAGCCCAGCATTTTAATAGAAGTTATTTAATCCATTTTTAGCCATAACATGAAAATAATTAACAGCTTATCAGCCAGAATATTATATTGTTTTGTCTATTAGATTGTTTTGGGTTTTATTATCGGTGCATCCCTAAAAAGAGAGAACAGAGAGGTTGAACAACTCAACCAATCTTATTTGAAACAGCTTTCCGACACCCCTTTTGCTGAACGAACAGAAAAACGCAAAACATTTGGATGGAAACCAAGCAAGTGCTCACTCTTCGGGAAGTCAACCATCAATGAAGTGTTTGCAATGCAATATCAGTGTTAACCACACTGGATCTCAGACGTCTGTGGTCTCACCCTCGATGGCGAGTCTGCGGCGAGGCCAGTTCTTGAGCTCCCGCGGCAGCAGCTCTTTCAGACGGATGCTGATGATGTGCTCCTCCAGCGCAAACTCCAACGTGTAAAAGCGCAGGAGCTCCAGCCACAGCTGCCCCAGAGACGCGCTCACAGGCTCCTCCAGCGTCAGACGAGTCTAGAAACACACACACACGTTACTAATAACACTCACCCGAGGGCTTCTTTAATACAGTCGAGAGTAGCGGTGAAGCGCTCACCTTGCCCTTAGCGTGTTCGGCCTTCTTCTCGGTCTGGGTTTTGGGTTCGGGTTTGGCTTTGCCGTCCCCGCGGCCCTCGCCTGCAGGAGCGGGCCTCTGCTCCCAACCCACGAACGAGTCCGACTCCATCCCCGTCAGGTGAAACTCATCCACGCGCTTCTCGTCAAAGCCCTTTATCTGAGCAGACATAAAAGAAGAATAGAGATATTTATTTAGATCAGGGGTTTTCAATCTTATAGATACGACTAGTGGTTGACCGATATATCGGCCGATATTTGGCATTTTTCAAATATCGCAGCGGCCGATAAGTTTTTCTGTTTGGCCAATGTGTTCGAGGCGGGACTTTTATTTTGATGGCGCCGAGAACGGCAGCACCTGCGCACACCGCTCTCACATTCTCCCTCTTTTTCGCTGTCGTCGTTCAGTTCTGTCTAATATGGATAGAAGTCTATCTAATAATCAGATAGAACTGTTAAACAAAGGAATGAAAATGTATACAAAAAAGTATTATAACGATTGCTTTAATATTATTAGTAATAGAAAGGCAAACATTATAATACTTTCTCATTTGCCGTCAGCATTCAGCAAATACGCATTTATATCATTTAAACAAATCTTTGAATGACTAATGAACATTTAATTTCACAAACCTTGCAGACTTAGTCGAATCTAGTTAAGATCTTGTGAAGTGTGCATTTGTATCCTGCATGATCGTGTGATCTGGGTGACGGTCGGTCCGTGCAAATTGAATGATGACAGGAGAAGAGTTCAGCTTCACTGGAGATCGACAAACTTTAAACTAGTGATTTCAAATTATGCTGCGCTTTATGCATTTGCCCACTGTCATATTCATGTCATTTTCATTGCGTGCTGTATGTAAAATTAGTGTTACCTTGGCTTTATTTATAAAAAAAAAAAAAAAAGGATTCCCAATGCACACAAACTTCCCAGAATACTGAGTGCCCTGTTGATTACAGTGTTTACTTTCTTTTTAATTAGATTTTTATTAAATATTTATTTACTTGTGAAAAATGCTTTGTCTTCTAAAGTATAAGTATGTTTATTTTACACAATTATTTTTAATCCATTTTCAAATGATTTCAATTTTTTTTTAAATATAAACGAAAATAAATAAAATTATATCGGCTTTATATCGGCCACCCTGCTTTCCAAGATATCGGCATCGGCTGTCAAAAAACCTATAATGGTCGACCACTAGATACGACGAAGCCCCAAATATGATTATCCTCATGTGAGGGGCCCCATCCTAAAACTGAAAAGACTACATATATATTTGAATAGAAAAATGTTATATATTTTAATGTATAAAGACCAAATTCTTACAAAGAAAAATGTATATTATAAATACACACATACTGGTAAAAAATGTATAGCCTGAATGCACTGTAAGTCGCTTTGGATAAAAGCGTCTGCTAAATGCATAAATAATTTTTATTATTATTTATTTTAAATTATAAATACACAAAATATTAAATTGAAAATACTAGGGATGCTCTGATCGATCGGCCAGAGATCGGTATCGGCCGATAATCACATTTCATGACTCGATCGGTAGTCACTATTTGGCCGATCTCACGAACCGATCGCAATTTGATGACGTCAACGCCTGACCACGTACATGATGCGTGGGGACGTAAATGATTTTAAGCCACAGTCATGTCATCGCCGGTGTGGATATGCTATGACGTTTCGAGAAACAATGAAAAATTTGCATGATGTTTTGCATGATGATGAATGGATGGTTCATTTTTAACAGCAGATTCAGTGACGTTAGAGCTGATCTGCGCCTCACTGCACACGTCTGCGGCACATTACGGCTCCACGGGAAGCCTAGTCAGTGCTTGTGTTTATACTGCAGCCGCGGCATGTTTCTGAAGCGGCTCTCCGCACTGCTTGGCTAAAAATAGTCTTTTGTGAGTTGTCACAGCGTGGAGGACGGAACAAAACCTCGT